ATGGATTCAGATATAATTGTTCAGGATACAGTGTGGACACTTGGAGTTTTAAAAGCTGCCCATGTAGTTCTTAGATGTAGCCAGTTAAGAACCCATTCCCTCAGGTGCCTGATCAGTCTGAACCTGTTTTCAAGAACAAGCAGTCTGGGCTGTTGCCATCAATATCTGCAATGAAAAGACAGGCAAGTTGCCATCCAAAGAATGATTTGGGAAATATTCCCTCTATTTTTTGGAAGAGTTTGTGAAGGATTGGTGTCAATTCTTTGAACATTTGGTAGAATTCACTGATGAAGCCATCTGGGCCTGGGCCTTGTGGGAAGCTGTTTTACTACTGATTCAATCTCTTTACTTGTTATAGGTCTAGTCAGATTTTCTATTTATTCTTGAGTCCATTTTGGTAGTTTGCATATTTCTAGGAATTTGTCCATTTCATGTAGGTGATCTAATTTGTTAGGATACAGTTGTTCCCTTATAATCCTTTTTATTTCTAAGGTTGGTAGTAATATCTTTTCCTTCATTCCTAATTTTAGTAACTTGAGGGGTTTTTTTCTTGGTCAGTCAAGCTAAAAGATGGTCAGTTTTGCTTTTGTTTAATGAACCAACCTTGTTGATTTTTCTCTATTTTTCTGGTTTTTAATTTCATTAATTTCTGCTCTAACCTTTATTAATTTCTTCTATTTGTCTTGGTTTAGTTTGCTCTTTTTCTAGTAGAAGTTTAGGCTGTTGACTTGAGATCTATCTCTTTTACTAATAAACTATTTTTTTAGTGTAGCTTCAGGTTCACAACAGAATTGAACATAAAATACAGAGTTCCCATGTATGCCCTAACCCCACAGCTGCACAACCCTCCCTACTATAGACATTCTGCATCAGAGTGGTACGTTTGTTACAATCCATCCACACATCATTATCACCTAAAGCACATAGTTTACTTTTAGTGGTGTATATTCTGTGGGTTTTGACAATGTATCTACCATTGTAGGATCATACAGAATAATTGCATTGCCCTAAAAATGTGTGCTCTGCCTGTTCATCCCTGCCTCCACCTTAAGCCCTGGCAACCACTGATCCTTTTACTGTCTTCATAGTTTTTCCAGAATGTCATATAGTATGTAGCTTTTTCAGATTGGCTTCTTTCTCAGTAATATGCATTTACGTTTCCTCCATGTGTTTTTCATGGCTTGATAGCTCATTTCTTTTTAGTGCTGAATGATATTCCATTGTCTGGACTTCTTTTTTAATGTATTTACAGCTACAGATTTCCATCTGAGCACTGTTTTCATTGCTTGTCATAAGTTTTGGTATGTTTTATGAAGTACTATTTGTATAGGAAAGGCAGGATAAATGCTTGCTTGTTTCCATTTATTTACAAGTTTTAAAAATAATGAGTGGGTTTCCTAGTGTGCCAGTAATGAATTATTGCCTTTCAGTTCCAAATGTATCCTTTTTGCCTGCTCTGCAAAATGGATTTGGGCCCTTTAAATGTTTATCCTTTACTCACTGGCAGATATTAAGTTTTGTCAATAGAGGGCACCAGATAGAAATTGCCCAGGGGTAGGGGGGAGAGGGGGAAGGCTTTGTTTCCTGTTTTTTAATGTTTGGGTTAGGGAGGCTTCTGTGCTGTGGGCAACTTCTCCAGAGCAATGCACATGGTTTCTTCAGCACTTAGCTTTTACAGTGTATGTTGGGCAGCAGCCAGAAACTTCTCCTGGCATCCCCCTCAGGTGGTTTGTAGTAGAGTGCCTCTTGTGAGACACCTCTCTGTGAATGGCTTTCTCCAACAATCCTGCAAGATTTCTGGCACCTTCTGCCAGTGCAGCACCACAGTGGCTTCTCTGCCATCTAGTGAGCCAGAGGCACATCCTCTCTAACAAGAGCTGCACCTCAGCTTTGGGTGATCTTCACTGGACACTTTATCTAAATTCTAGAGGTAGTGGCAGTTCCTTCTATTACTATTCCAGTATTCTTTTAGAGTTCTCTTTTGCATCTTTACTAGTCATTCCTTATTACTCCAATCCCCTGCTATTTTTAATGTTTTTAAATAACTAAAACCTTCCCTGTTCAAATTACTCTATGGTTCCTGTCTCCCGATTGGACCCAGACTGATACATCTGGTAATTTCTAACGGTGACAACAAGGTTTGTTTGATGAACTGTCAAAATTAAGGATTTATGTTCAAAAAAGGACAAAAATAATAGACTTAATGGAATAGAAGATGAAAATTGAAATGTCTAAAACTGATAAGGAATTGATACCTATAATACACAAGAAACCATCAACAGGAAAAAAAATAGAGCAACCCCAACAGAAAAACGGTCAATGGATATGAATAAGCAATTTAAAAAGAGGAAACTCAAAAGGTTATTAAGAAATGTCAGACTTATTAGTAATCAGAGAAACACAAAAAAACAATGAGATACCACATCACACCTGTTGGTTTGGAAAAATAAAAAGTTTTGGAAGCTGGATAATGGTTATAACTGAAAATATCTCAGATCTGTCCTCTTCTCTCCACATTTACTGTCACTCTAGTTCAAGGTCACCATCACCTTCTGCATTAGCGTAATACAAAAATGAAACAGGTCTACCCACTTCTATTCTTGCTCCTCCATACTTTATTTTTCCCCTGGAAGCAGGAGAAATCTTTAAGTGTAAACCAGATACCACATCTTTGCTTAGAACCTTTCAATAACTTCCTATTGCTCTTGGAATAAAATCCATCATCACAGCCTGCAGGTGACCTGTGTGATCTCCTTTCCTACCTCTCCAATTTCATACTGTGCCACTCTCTTTGCTCACTATTCTCCAGCAAATATTTCAATACCTTGAACACTTCAAGCTCTATCCTTCCTTATAACCTTTGCACATGCTGTTCCCTTTAAATTTACACATAGCTTGCTGCTTCTCATCTTTTGTTCTACTCAAAGAAGCCTGGCTATATTTTCTGGAGCAGATCCTAATAAGTCTCTGTCACTGCTTATTTCTTTCATAATACCAACATAATTTGTAGTTATTTTACAAATTATTAATTTGTAAATATAAATTACTTAATTATCTCCCCTACTACATAATACACTTCATGAGGGCAGGGACCATTTACCTCCAGTGCTTAAAGCAATGCCTAAGAATATGAATTAAAACGTATGTGAATGAATAAATCTATTTTGTGTTCTTGGGGAAGCCTGGACCGAGGGAGTTACTTTACAAATGCAGATGCTTCACACTTAAATGTTGTGTTCTATTTAGTAATGAAACAACAAAACAAAAACTCCACACATTCACTTACAATTTTATATTTTAAAAATAATCAGGGCCTCCAAACTTGACCCCTCATATTGTGTCCTCTGTATTTGTTTTGTCATCTGCCTGTTCAAATCCTTTATCATTTCTAATATGTGGTTTATAGTTTTCTAACTGGGTAGTAAGAGCTCTTTGTATATTAGCTCTTGTTTTGCAGATATTTTTTCTCCAAGATTGCATTTTGACCACTCAGTTTTGTTTTTTTGTTTAGTTTAACCCCAAGCCTGAACTACTCTAGGAAGGTGATGTCTAAGCTGACTCCAAAAGACCAGGTGAAGCTGGTTGGGTGGCAGGGCAAAAGGGCATTGTACAGGTGAACACAGTGAATCTCAAAAAGGAAAACGATGGTTACGCAAGTCCCTGCCAGTCCGCCCCAGCCAGCCCGCCCCACCACCGCCCACGTTCCTTGCTACCTACAGCCAGTAGTCAGCTCCTTCCGCCCGGCGCGTCTATCTGACGTCACGGACGTAGCGCACAGTTGACTCAGTTCGCGCAAACTCTGTGGCCGTAAACCAGGCTCGCAGATGCGAAAGTTCTCGCGGTGCCGGAAGTCCAGGGCACGTGACCGGGTGACAGCGCTCTCGGGACTACTGGGCTTGCTTTAGGTGTTGCGGCACGGGATGGCGGAGGCGCCTCCTGTCTCAGGTACTGTTCTGGTCCGCGCGGGAGTGGGCCCCTCTCGAGTTGCGAAAATTCGGTCACTGACGAATCTTAGGGCTTAGGCCATTCATATTACGAGAGTGGCGCGTACTAGGGTTAGGGATTGGGGCTTGGAAGGGCCAAGCCACGCGCGTGGTGCTTACGAAGATCGCGATCATTCTCGACTGGGTTGTGAAGCCCAGCAGCTGCGTTTCCAAAGAGAGCGAGTTTGTCCCGGCGCCCAGCGAGCGAGTCGATGTGGGTGTCCCGGCCTTCCCAGGGCAGCGGCCACATTGATCTCCGACCAGAGGGCGTCGGCTGGATCACCGCCGGTGACTGGCGGGCTCTTGACGTCAGTAGTAGTAGTGGCTTTGCAAGCTGTGCTTAAGGTGTATTTGTGAGTCCTTGTGCAGCGGTGCGGCCTCCAACCAAACACCTGTGGTTTCCAGTCTCAGCCTGCCAAAAACTCGCAGTGTGACTGAGTCATTTTCCTCATCTGTCAGTTGGGAGTAATTAAGTTAATTCCTGTGAAGGCTCCTGCTCAGTATGGCACCTATTCCGTAATTGTTAGCTCACTACCCCTCCCGGAGTTGCCTCTGTGTATAGAGACAACCTCATTTGGCTGTTAATATAACATCTATTTACATTTCTTTCAGGGTGTACCTTAGATCTTTGTTTTGCAAACCTTTTGGACATTGACTGAAAGTTATTTGTGACCTCCAGTGTACACATACATAAAGCAAACCAAGAGTTCCAGGAAGCGATGGTTTTCCATACTATCTGCAATACATTCTATTTTCAATTTCGTTTGGAAAAAAAAATACTTGTCATAACCTACTACATTGATTTGATTTCAGGACTCACTCTTTCTGAAAAACAGGGCAGCAATTTGCAGCATGAGGTTTGTAAAAGTCATTGATTTGAGTCGTAGTACAGCTATCTACCAGCTATTGAGGTACTAAGAAGAGTACGAATATATATGTATTTGTGTACTGGCTGGCAGGTAAAATGTATTTATTACTATGGATCTTGGTAAAAAAAGTTGTAAAACACACTGCATTGTTATACCCCAGTCCTGATTTAGATACTAAATCATCTTGGGGTAGGGGGGTGAGGGTGGGGACTGGATTTTTTAAGGCTGGTGTTTTGTTATTCTCCCACCCATTCTTTTCCCAGATCCTCTAAAGTGGATCCATTGATCTTCCCATCCTTAGGCTCACACCCTTCAGTGTTAGCAGCAGAATTGGGTGGGACTAGCTGTGAGTCATAGTTTTGGCCTCCAGTGTTGTTCCCTGGGTTACAACTTCCACCCCATCTAGTAAGGCAAAGTCCCCTACTCCAAAGACCTCCCCACTCCCTCTCATATGCCTTGGTTTGCTTTTGCCTTAGTTTCTATTCCATGTTCTTAGTTCAGCATAATCTCTAACCCACACCTCCGTCCTCATACAAGGTTTAGTTTTCTTGCCCACTCCTGTTCTCCAACAACAGCTCAGTCCAGGGAGTATCTGGAATTGGAGTCTGCTTTGTCTCTGGACTTGATAATCTACAGTTTACTCTGCTCCACCCACCTGTTGGATATCCTACTATGCTGCCGTGTTATCTTGGAACGGGGTACCACTTGTACTATAGCCACGCCTTGGTGATGAGACTTCCCATTTACTGAGTAACTTCCAGCTCTATAAAATAGTGGGGGGAAGGGTGTTTCAGCTCTGTGTCTTAGGTCCTATTTCTTGATTCTGTGCCCTTTTCCCCTTCCTTGTGTCTCTTAAGGGTCTTACTGAGGACTTTGCCTACTACCTCATATCTAGTAGAACATATACTGTATACGAATAGGTGCTGCCCTAGAGTCTAGACTCTCCAGTTGCATCAACTCCTTACTGCTTAACATGAAACACTCTTTTCCGATCTGTTACCAGGCTATTCTGAACAATTTTACTAACCTTTTTTCTGTCCCTCTCTCAAACCTTGCTTCTTCAAGCAGGAAAGGACTACACCATCCCCACTTGGTCTAATGTACCCATTCCCACCTTTAAGTTATTCTGCTAGGTTTCCAGCTAGGTTATCTTCTCTGCCACCTTCTGAATTTGTCTAACCCTTTTGCCATTTTGTAAGGCCTTCCACCCCATCCCCAGAATTCTGCCGTTGTGAAAGCTTTCAGGACAAATCCTGGATTGAGTGAGAGGTTACCCTATGACCTTTATGATCTCGTTCAGTTATTTAATATATGTTTCTATGCTACCAGCTGCCCAACCTCTGACAGTGTAGTGTAGTAATACTGTAAGAGTATGGTCTCTAGAGCCACGTAGCTTGGGGTGGAATCCTGAATCTGCTTTAGAATAACCCTGTGGCCTTGGACAAGTGCTTACTTCTTTCTGTGTCTCAGTTTTCTCACCATGAACGTAAGGTTTAAATGAGTTAACACATGCAAAGTGCTTAGAGTAGTGCCTGGCACATGTTAAATACCTGATAAAGTACCTAAACCTGAAATCCACAGACTCTGCACTGCACCCATCTATGGTGAGGACTGTGTGTTTCAGATGGTCTGTAGTGCTAACAGCAATAGTAAAGCACCATTATAACCGCTTTATACGTGTTACTAACTTGCTTTACTCTTCATAGCAACTCTTAGATGTAGGAATTGTTATTATCTCCATTACATATGAAAAAACTGGGGTTAAGTAACTTGCATAAAGACACAGTAAGTGATAGGCAGGGACTTAAACCCATGTCTTCCAGGCCCTATCAATTCATAGTATATTCCGTATGCTACACATAGTTCTGACTTTGCTACACTAGTTTTAGGCAAGTCATTTTGTGTTTGGGCTTTAGGGACTGAGCTAACTATACAAAGAAGCATCTTTGGGGGAGGGCGGGAAACGAGTGGGTTGAAGGGGCATATGCTTAATTTTTGAGACTTTGGGATTCTGGACTATATTATAGGTGTTATGTATGGAAAACCTAAAATATATTCCTGGGGGAAAGAAGTGGGAACTAATATACTCACTACATTAAGTACCATCTATATAAAATCATGTTTAAATTTTATAATAACCCTTTGAAATAGTATTATCACCTTTTGTCATGGATGAGGACCCTAAAGCTAAAAGCAACCAAATGATATCCCTAAGCTCATGCCATAAGTTGAAGAGTCAGACTTGAAACTGATTTTGGTTGATTCCAAAGTCTGTTTACTTGATATTGCACAATGCTACCTTAGTTTTGAAAGACTACATGGAACCTGCTGAGTGATGTCTGACACCTGAACTATTTGCTGACCTTAAATTTTTTTTTATAAAATAAGTGCATGTATAAATAAGTAATACCTGATGGTCCAGGTGAACAGTTTTATTTAGCAACTCTCAGCGGTGGCTACTGGTGAGGCTGTTGGACATGGTATGAGCAGCTTCCACAAGCACCTTGAATTCATCACCGTCACAGGAAACTTAGGACTTACTAAGAGCCTGTTTTATACAAAATTTTTAGGAAAATATCTTTTAGATATGGCTTAGAGTCTTCTGGGCTTCATGGGTGACCAATTAATTTCTTTACTGGCATGTCTATTTCTTATGTCCTAGATACTTTAAAATTCAATACGGATGCTGCTGAGTTCATTCCTCGGGAGAGAAAAAATTCTGGTCTAAATTGTGGGAGTCAAAGGAGACTAGATCCTAATCGGATTGGTAGAAGAAATTACAGTTCACCACCTCCGTGTCACCTTTCCAGGCAAATCCCTTATGATGACATCTCTGCTTTTCATCAGCACAGTTATCATCCTTCAGGAAGCAAACCTAAGAGTCAACAGACTTCTTTCCAATCTTCTGCTTCTAATAAATCACTCAAGAGCCTTCAGAATCAACCTGGGCAGAAACTGAGGAGTGAAAAGCAGCATATCAGAGTCAAGAGAGTACAAAGTCTCATTGACCAGACCTCAGATGCTGCTGGCTTAGAAAGCAGGGCCAGGTCAGAGAGTGGGACAAACCCTAGAGAGCACAGCCCTGCTGAGAGTGAGAAGGAAATTGTCGGTGCGGATCCCAGGGGAGCTAAACCCAAAAAAGCAACCCAGTTTGTATACAACTATGGTAGAGGACCAAAAATCAAGGGGAAACTCAAATGTGAGTGGGGAAACAGAATGACTCCCAAACCTGAGGACACTGGACCTGAAAATACCAAACCTGTGGGGGTTATCCACCCTGACTCTTCAGATACATCCTTTAGAAAAGGAGTACTGGATGGGTCTGGGGCCAGACGCAACGAGCAGAGAAGACATCCACAGAAAAGGCCTCCCTGGGAAGTGGAGGGGGCCAGGCCACGACCAGGCAGGAATCCACCGAAACAGGAGGGCCAACGACATACAAATGCAGGACTTAGAAACAACATGGTCCCCATTCCAAAGGATAATCTTAATGAAAGACCAGCAAAATCTATTTGTGACAATGGGAACTTGGCAGTCGTCAACAAGTCTTCCAGAAGGGTTACCCCAGAGAAATGTGCCATAAGGAGGCAGGATCCTCAAGTAGCATCTTTCCCCCGCGGCAAACAGAACCCTGTGCTAAAGAATGTGGAAACACACACAGGTAAGTCTACCTAGAGGGGTGGAAATGTTTTGTTTATTTTAAATTTTTGAATAGATAATATATTTACACAACTTAGAAACCAGAAAGTATAAAAAGGTACCCAGTAAAAAATCTGTATCCTTGTTCATCATCTTCCTGGGTCCTGTCACCACCCGCTCCTCCAGTAAATGGTAACCATTTACTTAGTTTTTATGTCCTAAGCAAATACAAATAAGGACCATTTTTCTTAATAAATTTAGTTAGAGTTTTGAAAAATGCAAATATGGGGTAGTATAGATATTTGGTTGCAAGAGTGTTTTTGAGTTGTGAAAGCACAAGTAGGGTATGGTAATGTCTCCACTGCTTCGTCTGGTCTCAGCCTACGTCATGTCTTGTCTGCTCATCTGCAGGAGTTCCTGACTAATCTCACCATCTCCAGTTTCTCTTTTAGTTCATCTCTTCCACCAGCATCAGAGAGGTCGGAGAATGATCTTTCTAAAACACCAATTGAACTGTATCATCCCCTTGCTTAATTTTGTTCACTTTTTCTCATTACCTACAGATTCTGGCTTCTGCCTTAACCAACAACATCTTCTGGTGCCTCAGTCCCCACCACATTTTTTTTTTTTAAAGGTTTTTATTGAGGAATTGGGGGATGGGAACAGCGCTGGGGAATTGGGGGAAGGGGAACAGACAAGTTGCTGTCCTTTTGTTCTTCAGTCTAGTTGTGGAGGACGTTGCTTCACTGGCCCAAGTTGGCACCATCATTGCGCTCTTCCTGGGCAAGGCAGATCAGTCACCTGCTTCTGGACGGCCGCTCACTGCGGCTGCTGGCCGCTCACGCTGGCTGCTGGCTACACACGGTAGTCCATGGCAACCCACTGCCACAGGGACTGCAGCCTATGCTGTCGCCGGCGACTCATGGTAGCCCAGCTCCAGGTTGAGCTGTTGTTCAGCGTCTTAGCTCTGGAGGGCAGTGTCACTCACTGGCCCTCATATGTGGGATCTGAACCGGGGCCCTCTGGTGTCCCAAGCCAGCTCTTAACCAACGCGCCACTCGGCCGGCCCCCCACCACATTTTATTCCCTGGACTCTGTACAGTTTCATCTTGCCATACTGTTGCACATATGGCTCCCTCTGTCTAGAATGTTTCCCACTCAGTTCACTGGTGAATTCTTACTTAAAAATGCAAAAGCTAGTATAGTCACATGTCCAGGAAACCTTTTCTCACCTCTGCAGATAGCATTAATCTTTTCCAGCCCTGTGACATGTCTTTCTCTTACACATAGAAGCTCCCATTACAGCATTTACTCTGGAAACCATCATTTGTTTATGTGTCAGTGCCCTCCACTTGTCTATAAGCTCCTTGAAAGCAGATCCTTATCTTCCTGTTTTTGTATCCCTGTTGCCTAACACAGCTCTTAAAACATAGTAGGTACTCAGCTCTGTTAGGAAGTTCTTCCTTACATTGAAATGAAAACTTCTTTCCTATGTAAATACTTTCTATCCCTTGGTTCAAGTTCTGTCCTCTGCAGCAACACAGCAACTACTCTCTCGCCTCATAGTTTCCCTCTCCGTTTTGCAAATCAGCTTCCTGCAGTAGTTGAAGACTTCTCATTTTGTCCTTATGGTATATTTCATCTAGGCTAAAGAGCTTCATTCTGTTAGCTCTTCCTCTTGGACCTTCACTATTCTGGTCTTCCTTCAGTTTAATGTGACATACAGCCTAACACATGAAGCCACCACTGCCTGGGCCTATTTTTGCACTGGCCTACAGTTCTTCTAGTTCTCATTTGCTTCACCAGGCAGTCCTTCTTGGAACCTCAACTTGTGCGTGAACCAAGGCAACGTTATACCAGAGTTGTTTTTGAATTCTTAAGGCTCGTTTCCTATTGCTTCATAATGAATTACCACAGTGCAGCGGTTTAAGATAGCACAAATTATGTCAGAGTTTCTGTAAATCTGGGTCAGGAATATGGGGATTAGCTGAGTTCTCCACTCAGAGTCTCACAGGGATGCAATCTCATCTGAGGCGTCCTCATTCACGCTTACTGGTTGTTGGTGGGATTTAGTTCTGTAATGGGTGTAGGACTGAGGTCCCCATTTTCTTGCTGGCTATTGGCTGGGGGTCACTGTCAGCTTCTAGAGGCCACCTGCAATTCCCTACCATGTGGCCCTCTCTACAGCATGGTAGTTTGCTTCTTCAAGGCTTACTGGAAAGCATCTGCTACAGATTCTTCAAATCTCTGACTTCTGTCTGTGATCTCTGGACTCTTTTAAAGGACTCACCTGATTAGATCAGGCCCACCCATACTCAAGAGGAGGAGATTATATAGGACATGCACACAAAGGGGTGGGAATCTTGGCCATCTTTACCTAACAAATCTCTTTGGTCTCACATCCCCGCATATTCATGAGAACACTTGATTCATATTTACTGAGTAAATACTATGTGTCAAGCACTGTTCTAGGTACTAGGAATACAGCACTGATGGATTTGCATTCTGGTAGGGAAGACAGGCAGAAAGCACTTAATATTTAATCTGTCAGATGGTGTAAGGGCTAAAAGCGTATAAAGCAGGTTAAGAGGACAGAGTAACAGGGCTGCTAGTTTGGATAGGGTGGTCTCTTTGATGAGGAGACATTTAAACAGAGACCAGAAGAAGTGCAGAAGCACGCCATGTGGCTCTCTGGAAAAGAGCATTCCAGGCAGAGGGAGAAGCAGGTCTAGGCTGGGGTGGGAGGGCGGCATTGTGAGCAGTGCAGTGGGCGGGAGAGGAGGGCAGAGAAATCCCAGGGGCTGAAACATGTGATTTCGTTCTGAGAAGGTGAGAAGCAGCTAGAAGGTTTTGGGGAAACGGATGGTATGTTCTAACTCACTTAACATTCTAAAACGATCTTTCAGCCTGATGTATGGAGAATAGGCTCTAACGAAGCAAGGGGACGAGTTAGGTGGCTATGGCAGTAATTCAGGTAGTTGATCATGGGGACTTGGACTAGGGTAGTAGTGATGAAGAGGTAAGAATTGGTTAAACTTTGGATGTACTTGGAAGGTACAACTGACAAGATTTGCAGATAGACTGGATGCTGGATGCAAGAGAATCAGAGGAGTCAAGGATGAAGCCAAGGGTTTTGTGCCTGAGCGATGTAGAAGAACAGAATTGCTATGCACCGAAGTGGTAAAGCCTGGGAGAGGAAAAGTTGTAAACGATTTGTTTTTAAATCTTTTTAGTTTGGAATAATGTTAGATTTATAGAAAAGTTGCAAAGATAGTACAGAGAATTCCTAAATATCCTTCACCTACCTTCCTCTAATGCTAACATCTTACATAACCAACTCTGGTCCTTTGTCAAAACTGAGAAATTAATGCTGATATTAATTAACTGGTAATTAATATCAGTAGTTAATATAGTACTGTTAACTAAACTGCAGATTTTATTTGGATTTCCCCAGTTTTTCCACTAATTGTCTGTCTGCTGTTCCAGATTTCAATCCAGGATACCATGTTGCATTTAGTCATCATGTTTGTCTTCTCCTCTGATCTGTGACAGTTTCTTAGCCTTTCCTTGTTGGAAAAGGCATTTTTGCGTGTTTTGCTTTGTCTACATTTGTTCAGGAAAGATACAGAATTTGGTTAAATTTGTTAAATTTAAGTTGCCTATTAGACTTCCAAATGGGTATGTTAACTAGGGAGCTGGATATAAAATTCAGGGAAGAGATCTGGATTAGAGATTTAAATCTGGGACTTGTCAGTATAGAGATGTTTAATGGACTAGAGAAGGTCACCTAGTGTTGCTGGAGAAGAAGAGTTTGAGGATGGAGCCTTCCTATACCTCCGTGTTTCAAGGTTGGAAGATGGGGATCCAGCACAGGAAATGGAGAATGAGTACCGATTGAACTAGGACGTGAAACATGTTCTAAATACCAAATAAAAAAAGAATTCAAGGAGGAGGGAGTGATGAAATGTGCTAAATGCTATTGATAGGCCCAGAAAGATGACAACTGCATATTGACTATTGGGTTTGGCAATGTGAAGGTTATTGATCTTGCTAAGAGCAGTTTTGATGGAGTGGTGGAGATGAAAGCTTGATTGGAACGGAAAGAGAGGATCACCCCAAATATAAGCCTCCATGGCTATTTGAGAGTGGTCTTTGCTTGCTCTCATTTTGTACTGGGAAAACCTAGCACTGCTCCTGTTGTCCCAGACTGTCTGGGTCCCTCATTCTGTGGTAACAGAACCCCCTGTTTCTGCTATGCTCCTGCTCTTAATTGATTTACAGCCTTCTCTTCGTTCACCACTTTCCTTTCCACCTCTCAGATCCTGTGCTTTCTCTCATCCCATTTACCTTAGTTTCTGGAAGATGGGGAGAACATATTCCTTCTTCCCCCGTGTCATTTCTAAACTATTCTTCCACCTTTGTATCAAAATCCCTGCTCCATTGAACCTAATGCTACATCACTTCTTTTTTTTTTTTTTTGGTTTTTTTTTAGTTTTTTTTTTTTTAGCTGAGCCATCCTGCCACCTTTTGGCAGCTCAGCGGCAGCTCAGCTCGGGCCAGACTCGAACCGCTGTTGCTCAGAGCTCAAGCCTTTGAGCAAGCTCTTAACCAACTGAGCCACTCAGCCGGCCCCTACATCACTTTTTAGCTACATCATCTGCCAGATCTCCTTTATTATTTATTAGCCTCCAGATCGCCCAGCCCCAGCCCCCATTTATTAGTGCATCTAGCCCATATCTTTTCTCTACCTCAGGGGATCTCAATGTGTAATCCTAGAGCAGCAGCCATCAGCAACACCTGGGAACTTTTTAGAAAAGCTTATTCTTGGGCCCCACCTCAGATTTACTAAACAGAAATTCTGGGAGTGGGGCCCAGCAGTCATATCTTTTAACAAGCCTCCAGGTGATTCTAAGGCATGATCAAGTTTGAGAATACTGATTTACCATAAATCCTGCTGTTATTCTAGGTGACTTTAGTGATCATGTACATTGTGCCATCCTCAGGTTCTTTGATCTTATCAACTGCAGTGATCTTCACCTTCATTCTACCTCCATACCCCCTACCAGGAAAATAACCCTGGGGATGCCCCATCTCTGAAACCTTAAAGTCGCATGTTCCACTTTCTGAACATAAGTTCCTGTCCTTCTGACTCCCTCAGTTTCTTCCACCCACAACCAGTTCTGCCAGCTTCCTACCTGGCTTTATTCCCTCTCGAGGTGGGCCTTATTGTAGGATATTGGAAGTATTGTCCTTTGCCAAGTCATTTGGCAGCACCCCATCCCTGGGTCAATGATGCAATGTACCTGTCCTCCTCCAGATCTGGGGAACAGAATGCTGTTCTGGGATATCACATAATAGTACAGATTTGGTGCTGCTGCAATTCATTTGCCTTTTCAGGGAAGCCTTCTTGATGACTCTGTTTGAAACTAAATTTTTCCCACTGCCAGGATTCCCTATCCTCCTTTCCTGGTTTATTTTTCACGATAGTTCTTATCACTAGTTAATGGTGCTACATATATTCATTATTTGTTTATTGTCTACCTTTCCCCATTAGATAATAAACTTCCTAAAGGCAAAAGATTTTTGTCTGTTTTATTCACTGTATATCCTTAGTGTGTAAAGAGTGCTTGATGCATAATAGTGGTCTCCAGCCTCAGTTGGCTTTCAGCACTGCCCATTTCCTCTTATATGACCTTGGTCTACTGTCTTTCCCATTTTCATTTAAGACTACTCCAAACCTTTTCCATTCTTCTTCAAACCTTCCTAACATTCATCTCCCTAAATCTCAGCAGATCTCATTGCCTCCTACTTCATTGAGAAAGGGGAAATCATCAGGTATAATTTTCTTAACTTTTTGCTCCCTTTATGCAAACTCAGAGGCACCTGTGCCTATTTTTCGTTATCTTTAGTTCTGAGATCTCCTTTATTTCCTTTTATCAACCTTTTCACATTTACTATTCCAAGTTCTCAGCCCGAAGATCTTCCCAAGCCTGTCCTACCCTCCACAAGAAAAGCTTTCCTTTATGTGACCTCCTAGTAGCATTTCGTTTCCTTCCATTCCAGTGTCACCTGCTTTATTTCCTTTTTCCTATTTTGATTCACTTTTCAGTCCTCTGCCATCATTACCACCTAACTCAGAGAGCTGCTGGCAAGGTTATGAATGGCTTTCTACTTGCCACATCCAGTGGACAGATGTATTTCAGTCCTTATTATCCTCGATTTCCGTTTGAGGTTGATGCAAAGATAGAACCTTTTTTGAAATGTAATTTCCTTGACTCATTTATTCCTTCATCCACTCATTTGATAAATATTTATTGAGCACCTGGTATATGTCAGGAACTGGAAATATTAACAGTGAGCAAGGCAGACAAGACCCTGTCTCTGCCTCACAGTACATATAGTCTCAGGGTGTTTGTATTTTTTTTTACATTAAATTGGACAAAGTAATCTTAGGAAAGCTAATATTATGGAAGGATTAAAATGGGAGCTTTTGAGTCAGGTAGCAGTGAGTTTGAATTTTGACTAATTTCTAGCTTGGTGACCTTGGGTAAGTGATTTAACCACTTTGAGCCTTGGTTTCTTCATCTATAAAATGTTACTCACATTACAGCCTTGTTAAGATAATTAAATAATATGTGTAAAGTGCTTTTAGCACAGCACTTGGCTAGGTGTATTTTTTAACTAAAATAAAAAAAAATTAGTTATTTTATTCTTATAACCTATTAGGACCTGAAAACAAAATAATATTGTGAGATAAATGCTGAAAGTATTTAGACAAAAAATAAAAAATATTCAACTATATTTGAAAAATAAAAGTTACTTAAAAAAAATCAAAGAATAAAATATATATACTCACCTCTGAAAGCACCTGGCTACACTTGGGATAGAAAGTATACCTGGTTATACTTTGCTAAGATCATACAAGTATTTGAGGAAAAAGGTCTGGAAATGGGTGAAGGTGTTGAGGAATAAATCTGGGAGGCTTCTTATGATGCCATACATTGGTCTCTTTCACTAGATGGCGGGCTTCTGGAGCCAGGGACTGTGTCTCCTTCAGTCCCGTAATCCTACCATGGGGCATATTTTTGTTGAGTGAATCACCTTAAGACTTTCAGGGCAACTACTAGAACCATCTCACTACCATGGTGGTTGGAACCTGTCCAGGCTTAGGTTTCTTGCAGCTGACCATTCACAAGCCCCTCCTTAGCCTGAATCCATTGGTCTGGTAGGTCCAGAGCGTTCCAGATTCAAGAGGTCGAGGCAAGGCCCTATAGCACGCTGCTCCTGTGGATGCTCAAGCTGTGTGACGAGGGGCTTTTTTGGTTGGTTCCTGGACAGTTTCTTGGGAATGTTTCTTCAATTGTGGGAATCCTCACCTGAATATGTATTTCCTAGGTCCTCTACCACAGCCTGTTCCTGCCCCTTCCTGGCCTCAAACTCTGAACAACCACCTTACTCATAATCAGATATCCCTTGAAACCTCTGTGTTTGAGTTCTTCTCTCAAATGCTTTGCTGATTCTTCGTTGGCTGAAGTAGGGATTGGTTTTCTCTATTTGAGTTTATCTGTTTTGTTTTTTTAAACAGGTTCTCTAGTTGAACAGCTAACTACAGAAAAATATGAGTGCATGGTATGTTGTGAATTGGTTCGCGTCACAGCTCCAGTATGGAGTTGTCAGAGCTGTTACCATGTGTTTCATTTGAACTGCATAAAGAAATGGGCACGGTCTCCGGCATCTCAAGCAGGTCAGTCATTTCTCTTTTCTGAATAGTTATTCTCACCTATTTAATATGTCCACTTTTGGGCTGGCCAAGTGGCTCATTAGTTAAGAGCTGGCTTGGGACGCCAGCTCTGAGCATCAGGGCCCCGGTTCGGATCGCACATTAAGGCCAGTGGCGCTGCACCCTCTACAGCTAAGATGGTGAACAACAGCTCGACCTGGAGCTGGGCTGCAGTTATCGCCCGCGACGGTATAGGCTGCAGTGAGGCTGCAGTGGGCTGCCATAAGCTACTGTGAGTGGCTGGCAGTCAGCGTGAGCTGCCAAGAGCCGCCATGAGCGGCTGTCCAGTGGCTGGCGACCGATCTGCCTCACCCGGGAAGAGCTCAATGATCACAGTACCAACATGGGCTAGTGAAGTGACGTCCTCCACAACTAGACTGAAGAACAAAAGGAGAGCAACTTGACTGTTCCCCTTCCCCGATTAATTCCCCAATAAAATCTTAAAAAAAAAAAAGTCCACTTTTAAAATGCTACTTAGTAATTCCTCTTGAATATTTTATCTACAGAGAGAGTAGTTTGTCCCAATCACATATTTCAGATGACCAGTATTAAACTGTACATCTTAAACCAGCTAAACATAACAGTATTAAAATAAATTTAGGTATGATAAAATCAGTCACTTCTACTGAAAAATGGTAGCTTTTGTCCAAGTAGCAACTACAGAAAACATTTCTTGTATAGTTTCCTTTAGAAAATTTATAGAAAGAATTGTTTAATTTACACTTGGAATGTTGAAGTTGTTTTGCCTTTAACAAATCTTCTCCATAGTACTTTGTGGGCTTTTCCTAAAGGCTACTAGTATTTATGGGTAATGTAAATGTTAATAATATGGTTTTTGAACTGTGGCTCTTCTTCTAATTTAAGATATCTGGGTTTTCCTGTATGTATTCAAATACTTCATCATTTTTTTTTTCAAGCCAAGATTCCGGTAATGTTTACTTTGACATTAGAAATACTATAATAGAACATTATCACTACAAAGTGAAATAATAATTATGTGATATGATGAAGGTGTTAGCTAAATCATGTTGCAATATATAAATGTACACCTTAAACTCACACAATGTTATATGTCATTTATAACTCAATTAAAAAAAGAACAAAATACCCACTTGATTCATCATATCTAAAGTCCTTATAAACATAAGCCTAAATGCAGTATTTAAGCAGAGCATTCAGTATTGTGAATTTGTTTCTTTAATGTCTGATATCCTTGACATAGAAATTACTTCCCCTGCTTCAATGTTATGCCTTCCTATAGGTTTAAATTTTTAAAAATGACACATGCTTTTCAAAGGAAATCATTTTGGTTTTCTCCTATTTTTCTTGGCAGATGGCCAGAGTGGTTGGAGGTGCCCTGCCTGTCAGAATGTTTCTGCACATGTTCCTAATACCTACACTTGTTTCTGTGGTGAGTTTTTTTTGCATACCCGGAGTCTCTTCCACTTCATGCATTGTACTTCAGTTCCCAGCCCAAGAGCGATGGTCTGCTGGGCATGTTTTAGAAGTTACTAATAAAACTTCAAAGCTACAGGAGTCTACAAGACATCATCTGCATGTGTTTCATTACACAGCTGGAGTCACAGGACTTTGTGCTCTTGGCAGGCTGTTCTGGAGAGGGGCCTTCACATCATGGCCTCGAGGCTCATGCTACTTCCGAGCTATAGTGCTGGTCTCCTCGGTCTTAGCTTTAGACCAGAGCTGATCAGATGGCAGAGGCAGGTATAGACCTGGGCTCCTTCTCACCCATATCTGTAACAGCTTAGATGTTCCAGATTGGAGCAGCATGAGTAAAGAGTAATGTTGGAGTGTACTTTATTTTAACCCAAGGAATCAGTCATTGGTCTTTATAATAAAGAGAGAGATTTTTATAGACCAGCACTACTAACTCCATCCTTGTGCCCTCTCTCTTTATGGAATGCTTCTTCCTGTTTTTGAATAGCTCAGTTCCCCTGTGTGTTAGGAAAAACCTTGTGATCCAGAAGCTCATTCCTGCTGCTAGCCTATTTCCTGCATGTCTTTTTTCCCTTTTCCTGCCTATCTTTTAACAATTAACCTTTACTATCTGGTTGTTGGTTTTTAAAATTTTGTTTCTTAAGCATGTCTACCTTCTTGAACCATTGCATTTTTGCTTCTGTCCTTGTTACCTCACTGAAAATGTATTCAGAAGTCATCAGTGACCCCTGCCTGACCAAATCCAGAGCTGATTTATAAGTTCTTAGCCTTTTAGGAACACGACAACCCTTAGCACTTGACCATGCCCTTCTTGAGAGACTAACTCTTCCTGCAAACTCCCCTTTTTTTCTAACTAATTTGCTCATATTACTCCTTTCCCGTTACTTAACTAGCAGCTTTCACAAAGAGGCAGTCATTGACCATCAACTCTTTAACTTCTAGATTTAGTCTCCTGGTGAATTCATCAACTATCTAGAATGCTCTTCCCCTTCTTTTTTTAGAATCCTTATCCACATTCAAGATCTGACTCCAAACATTCTCTTCCAAAAGTAGCTTCCCTTATTATTTGTTCTCCCAGTTTGACTACTCTTTTACTTAGAATCTGCTGGTCTTATATATTTTATTGCCAAAATCTGAGCTTTTTAGATTCTAAATTAGTATTCATTAAAGAATGAATATTCTAGAATGTACAACTAGAAAGGTAGCATGAAACTGGAAGCAAGAGATCAATAAGAAATTTGACAAATAACACCAATACCAAGGCTTGATTGCCTTATTTTAAAGGATTTTTAAACATAAAGTACCACAGTGGAATTAAAAATCTTGTTAAAACCTTCACTGATAAATTAGATATGAGACCCTGTGAAGGCAGAAGAATGTAGAGTGAAGGTCAAGATGATCTGAGCAAGGTAAAATGGTGTGAGAATGCAAATATAATGGCCTTATTTTACTTACTGATTTTGTCCCACTCTGCTCTTCTTGGAAGGCCATTGATTTAATGTACTTTATTGAGAACTCAGTGTACCAGACACCATGAAGAAATGGAGGGAATAAGACTTATTTATTGACATCTCAAGAGTTTACAGTCTAAGAGTTAAGACACAATTAACTTAGTGTTCTACTAAAGCACAAAGTGCTATGGGTGATCTTTGGGATGAGCTATAACTTCTGGCTGGATGATCAAGAGAAGCCTTCATAAAAGAGGTAGAATTAAACTGGGATTGAAAACTAGCTACAATCTTGGTAGGAGGGAAGATTTGTTGAAGAAAATAGCATAAGCAGATATTAAAAACTGAGACCTGGAATCTATTGAGAGAAGAGGTAGTCAGCTGGTTATGGAGCCCAGGATCTATGAAGGTGGAGGGGTGGGAGATACCTGGAAAGATGGGGCTGACTTCTTGATGCCAGGCTTAGATGTTGGGACTTCATTTGGCAGGCTGTGGGAAGCCACTGAGGGCATCAGAGTGATTCTTTATGGAGCTTAATCTCATGACAGTGAGTGAAGTATTGCAGGGTCTAAACAGTTTGGGGACTTGTAATAACCCAGATGAAGAATAATAAAAGTCTGCTATAGGTGTTAGAGTGGGACAGAAGGAGGGGATACAAGATTTCAAAGATAAACAGGGATTAACAGCAATGGGAAAGAGAGGAACCCAAGTGTGGTTCCAAAGTTTCATGTTTTGGGAAAGGTGATACCAAGGACAGAAAAGGGCAGGTCGGGAGAGCCAGGTTTGGCGGGGACACTGAGTTCAGTTTTGAGATGTTGAGTTGGAGGAGTAAGATACTCAGTGAGAGATGTCCAACAAGAGGTTAGAAATATTTGAAGAGAGATCAGGACTTGGCGATGATAGATGCTGCAATTGAAAGTAGTAGATGAGACCCGAGTGGGGTAGAAGTAAAAAAAAAAGTCTGATGCAGAACCCTGGCAGAAAAAGGGAAAAAACTCTAAAAATCATTTAGAATCAGGAAAAAGAGGGGAGCCTTTGAAACATGGCTGGGGAAAACCAGGGCACTGTATTGGAGCAAGAAAGCCCCAGAGGCAGGGAAGCTTTTCCAGTGGTGTGGAGATGAGTTTCTGGCCAGTAGAGAGGCTGGAGCAGGAGTAGAGGGGGAGATGAGGTGAGATACACTAGGTAGGGAAATTGACAAGATATGGTGATTAAGTAGAATATTAAAAGAAAAAGAGGAGGAGGATTCTAGCTTTTCAGTTCGTGAGACTCTGACAGGGATGGTGTCACGACAGAAATAGGGAACACTGAAGAGGGAGGGGTTTAATGGTGAAGACGCTGCTTTTGGCTGCAGGTGTAGTCAGTTTGAGGTGACTGAAACTGTGAGCACAGGTGTTCAGCAGATGGTTGGACATATAGGACTGAAACTGAGGGTTCAGGGCAATGCAGAAAATGTAGATTTGGGGATCGTTGGCCTTTGGGTGAGCTAAACTTCACAGCATGAATAAGATTTCTGAAAGAGACAAGCTAAGACAAAAGCAGAGCCCAGGGACTGGGGACAGACTGTCATTGAGGGTGTAAATTGTCCCAAGTGAGGATGAATTCCTCAAGGGCAAGGAGGAGTTGTATACTTCAGTTTTCATCTTCTTGCCTCTATGCTAAGTTCATGGAAGGTGCTTACTAAAGATATGCAGAGTGACATAGGTTATAAAAATATAGCCCTTTTTATACCTACCTTATATTGGGTTTTTGGAAAAGTCATGACGCATTTTTGCAACGAAAAACAGAAAAAAATATGTCAAAACTTTTCCTTCAACCCAATAGCTTTAGGATAGGCAAGTTCCTACTGTACAGGTTACTTATGTCTTTTCCATCTCTTACTGCTTCTCCCCCATCCCCCACATTGCTCTCTTCCCTTATTCCCTCTTTCTGATCCTTACTGTAGACATTCCCATATCAATTCAAGGGCCCATTTACAGAAGTCTTATCTTTTGGGCCTTTTTTCTTGGATTAAATGTGTCCATTAGTCAAAGTGGCATTTTTATAAGTAAAATAACTTTCTTTAAAAAAATTGTTTTGTAAGAGTTTATTTGAGTCCAGCTGGCATCATATGCCAAGGAGCAAGATCTCAAATGCTCTCAAAAATGACTTTTTATTTATCTTTTCCAGGTAACCCAGAATTTAAAATTTGTTGTACTCAGTGAAGCTTTTGATGAAAAGCATTACATTCAACTTTTTATTTTAGGATGTGTAATAATGCGTTCGTTGAATTAGTGAAAACCACATTGCTGTTCCATGCTATATTGTATTATTTCATTAAAGTCTAGGATGCAGTTGGAGGTTGTACCATTGACTCTCTAATCTGATATATTTTAGGCAAGGTAAAGAATCCTGAATGGAGCAGAAATGAAATCCCACATAGTTGTGGTGAGGTTTGTAGAAAGAAACAGCCTGGCCAGGACTGCCCACATTCCTGTAACCTGTAAGTTGGAACCCTAGACCACTGGGGATTCTTGGTGGACACGCTTTGCTCATGGCTTTGAGTGTGTATATCTGGTTAGCATGTAACAGGATGGGGTGAAAGGCAATATGGTACCATTTACTGAGCACTACCCTATGCCAGGTACTTGCAGAAGTTTATCCATTGAATTCTTAAAACAGCCCAGTGATGTATAAATATTTATCATCTCTATTTTACAGATGAGGCTCAGAAAGGCCAACCATTTTGCCCTACATCACAATGCTAGGACATGGCAGAGCTGGGATTTCCAAAGCCAATGCTCCTTATTACTATGTTACGTTGCTGGCTTCTAAGACGAAATACCCTCTAGTGATATCCAGGTCCAAGAGAGTGCCTAGGGCAGACTTCTGTTTGGGGAAAGGCAATTGTGTAGTGTTGGGCAGTGTTTTTAGGATGTGAATTCCTTCCCTACATTAAATATCGCACTTTAGAATGTATCCAATCAGCTTCTAAGTAATAAGAGAAATGCACAATAATAAACAGTTTATCAGTTACAAATAACAAATTTCTATAAGTTTTAACCTCAAACAAAGGTTTAATTCCTGGGTTCAGGTCACTTAATAGTTATGTGACATTGAATAAATTATTTCTCTGAGCCTCAGTTTCTGTACCTATAAGATAATGATATGAGTGGCAATACTTACAGAGTTCTATGATAATTAAACGAATTGAAGCACTTAAGAGACTTGGTACAGAGCCTGGCACATGGTATGTGGTCAAAAAATGGTAATTCTTGCTTTTATTACACAAATGTAAGGGTAAAACAGACATCAGAGTATATCTTGGTGCTTCTGCTGCATGGAGCCAGGGGTAAATGTTGGGCAGGAGGTTTTGTGATCAAGCTGTGGGGATGATGCTATGGAATTATAACGGGGAGAGAGGTGTTCAGTTAGACTGGGCTATACAGGATGGCCTGCCATCTCTGGGAAGCCAGACCCTCCCGTTCCTTTGACTGCTTCCTCAGAACCCTGGGGACTCATCTATTTAAACTATTCCTTCCCTTACTGGGCATTTAAAGTAAATTCAGTAGTAGTAAATTAGCCCTCTGTATGAACTGTCTTTCCGAAGCTTTCAGCAGAAATGGGCCCCGTCATGACTATCAGAGAATATCAAATGTGATGCAGACCAGGTGACCAACACCATGTCTGAAGGGATAGGAGGCTGTAAAACTTGCTCCTTCATGGCTCTGGAAATTCTGCTCTTGATTTGCGAACTTTTTACTCTTGTGAGGACCCTAGAGATTGCTGAACTCCGTATCCCAGCATCACCTTCCTTTCAAAAGAATTCTTTGAGTTTCTCTCATTTATATTCATCAGGACTCAGAAACCACAGTTGGTCCCTTTACCACTATTTTAGGTTGTTCTCATAGATTATAAAATTCTATAGAGCAGTCTTTCTCAATCCTGGCTATGCATTAGAATCACTTAGGAAGCATTTTTAAACACCAGTGCCTAATCTTTACTTCAGAGCAATTGAATCAGAATCTCTGGGGTTGGGTCTGAGCATCTATAGTTTTTAAAGCTTTCCAGGTAATTCTAATGTGTAGCCAGTGTTGTGAACCACTGCTCTAAAGGTTATGAAAACCTGTATTAAGTCCAGGCCTCGGGGATATTTGAAATAACCTGAAGTCATTCACTCCTGACCAACAGTTTATCTATCAGTCTCATCTGAATGCAGCCATGAAAATAGTTTCACCTGAAAATGTTAAGGCATAATATGTGAAATATAACTATGGAATAATGATACTCATCTTTAAAGAAACGTGCTTAAATTTATGTCTTCTGTGGATTCTGTCTGTCAAAATGGGTCACCTTAGAAGACTAGGCCCTTGTTTCTGGATTGTTTTCAGTGTTTACAGCTCATTTAAGAATTATCAGAACTGATTTAGGAGTAACACAAAAAACTCAACTAGACGTAATAGGCACACATGGTTTTTATACCAAATTCTGTTACCTACTTGATTAATTAGATTTGGCTTGATTGGCTTTTAATTCCCAAAGGATTGTGATTTTCCATCACTTAGAAAGCACACCCCTCTCCAAAAAAAAAAAACTATCATAGAAGTTCCCCAAATGTTTTAAGTAGTAGTATTTCTGAACAGGTGTGTAATTTACCGGGGGGTATGCTTTTAAGAGGGCAGTATTTTATTTAAATATATAATTCCATTTAAAATTTTTCTTTCCTTTGGCTTCTTTATGTCATAGCTCCTATAAAAAGCATTCTATTTAGAGGTCTAATTCTGACTTACAGGATATTGTTAAGCCCAGTTTTTTCCATGAGTCCCTTTCTCTTTTGTTCTCTCCTTGTGTTACTAGCATGCCTCTTCTCATGTCAACCTTCTTTTCACTATTCCCATCGTTAGCCCATCATCTGGTATTATTTCACTAGTTGATAAGAAAATGTCTATACTTCTTATGAACCTAGTAGATTTGAGCTCTGTTATTTTGCTCAGGTTCTGATCTTCTAAAGGCCTCCATTGGCCATCCTGCTGTTCACCTGAGTGGCAAGCTATTTTTATTGCTGCATACAGCACTAAGTGGGCCAAGACCATATTTAAAAATGTCATCTTTAACTGTTGGACCCAAATAAAACCAGCGTTTTGATTTGGGCTTTACTTTTTTGGTTAAATATTCTAAGATGATAATGCTGTCAAAGTAGTTTAATCAACTTTAAACAAATACTAAAATATTTCATAGTAGGTTTATTTGTTGCCATATTCACAATATGGAGCAGTTGGGACAGCTTTGTTCAGGTTTGGATACATGGGTATCATTTATTCATCACAATTTTTATTTTGTAGTCTCTGCCATCCTGGACCTTGCCCACCCTGCCCTGCCTTTATGACTAAAGCATGTGAATGTGGACGGACCAGGTAAAGTTGGATTTGTACTCTAAGGAAGACTCAGTTTCCACATTGATGACTTATGTGTGAATTTCTATAATAAAAGATTAGTAGGAAGACGTAAATAGTACTTTTCTGAAAACAGTGTTTCCTGTGCTGCCTCAATCCTATTTTGCAATCTTATAAGTGATTGAGAAGTTATATGCATAGTGAGATTTACCCATTTCAAGTGAAAAGCCAAGGTGACAGGGACTTTTTCCTTAGCCTCTCTACTGGGTGAAAGAATCAGGAATTGAACAGGTCTGTTTAGGTCCAGGCGGCAGGAACCATGCACCAGCAGCTAGCACAGTATCTGGCATCTAGGAGGTTTTCAGTGAATATTGTTGAATTAAGTAATAAATGATCCAAGAGCCCGCCCTCTTTTCATTACAACACAAGTTCTCCTGCATCGTCAGCACAAGGATCACTGATAGCTGTGGAGTGCCTCTGAGGCCCAGTAAGACCATAAAATCATTTCTCAACCATAAGATAGATAGGATCGTGCAGATTTTCAGTGATACATATTTGTTTAATGTTTACTGAACTTACGAGAGTAGCAGTGTGGCCTGAGAGTCACATGTGAGGGCTGTGGGTCAGAAAGACCAAGTCAGATCGAGGTTCTGCCACTAATTAATTGTTGACCTGGGCAAGTTGCTTGGCTTCACTGAGCCTCGTTCTCTTATCATAAAGTAGACATAATAATGCCTTCCTCAAGGGGTTGATGTTTGCCATGATGCTGAGCACTGGAAACTGATCCTCTAAGTACATAGCAGTGACTTTTTAAAACAAAATAGGTAGCTGACATAGGAGTAGGGGATAGAATAAACTCCTCATGTGGGAGAGTAGACTCCAAACTCTAATCCATTACCTTGGAAAAAGACCTGAAGACGATTGTCTAAAAGCCCTGGCCTCGTATCCTTCTGTAGCTAAGTCAGCAAAATTAAGATGTTTATTAGAACAAAGCCAGAATGATTTCGCCGTCCTGATCAAAGTCACATACAGTATGTTCTTAAGCTGCATAAAATGCCAGAGTGCCAGGTCCCAGGAGAATGCCATTGTGCATTCATTCTGAGAATGTACATTATAACTACACCTCCCCAACCTCCCTACTGCCATCTGTAAGATACTGTGGGAGCTCCAGGCTCTTTCCCTTCCCACATGCTGCTTCATGGGAACTCAGAAGAAATTACATACAACAAATACTTAGGAGTAGCCTTCAGTTCCTCACAGGTCGGAAAATAGGGGACAGAGAAAAGCAGACTGGGAAATAAAGAAAGCAAAGGAGGAAAAAGAGGAAAGTGGAAAAGGCCAGGGTGAGGAAATAAGGATTGGAGGGAGGGAAACAATGAACGGGGCCAAGAGAAAGGTTTAATAGGTTTAGGGGGAGGGCTTGGGCTTCAGTGTTAGTTTAGCTGTCAAATAGGAACTTAATGTCCAACATTAGATTAATGCTATCTTTGCATCTATTGTTTTTACAGGCACACAGTTCGCTGTGGTCAGGCTGTCTCAGTCCACTGTTCTAACCCATGTGAGAATGTTTTGAATTGTGGTCAGCACCACTGTGCCGAGCTGTGCCATGGGGGTCAGTGCCAGCCTTGCCGGGTCATATTGAATCAGGGTAAGTGATGAGCCCACCAGCTAGTAATACCGGTGTACTTTTCTGGAACCTTATTTATGGTTGTCTTGATGACGTGGCTTCGTCTCAAACCTGTAGTCACAAAGACTATTAGCTCTGTTACCTTGGATAGAGAGAACTGGAGATATATTAATGCTTAGATGGTTTTCATTATTTTAGTTACATAATACCAGCACAAGTCATTGGTTTTATAGAATTTGGACAGTAGACTTTAAAATATTTAAAAGTAACTGCTTGGGAAATTTTAAAAAAGTAACTACTTGAAAAGGTTCCAGAAAGGCCAAAATAATCTTGAAAAAGAACAAAGTTGAAAGAGTTAAACTACCTGATTTCAAGACTTACAAAGTTACAGTAATTATGACAGTGCAGTTATTGGTATAAAGATAGACTACTAGGTCAGTAGAAGAGAATAGAGTCCAGAAATACACCCAAATATATAGTCAGTTGATTTTCAACCACGATGTTAATTTAACGGGAAAAGGAGACTCTTTTTACAAATGTTGCTAGAACAACTGGATGTATGTATGGGAAAAAAACGAAACTGAACCCCATCTCTCTCTTTACACAAAAATTATCTCTACATGGATCATGGACTTAAATATAAAACCCAGAAACAAAGCTTCTAGAAGAAACTATAAGAGAATATTTTCATGGCTTTGGGGGTTAGGCAAAAATTTCTTGGACAGAACAACAAAAATAGAAATCATAGGGCCGGCCGAGTGGCGCGATGGTTAAGAACTCGCTTGGGATGCCAGAGGGCCTCGGTTCGGATCCCACATATGAGGGCCAGTGACACTGCCCTCCACAGCTAAGATGCTGAACAACAGCTCAACCTGGAGCTGGGCTGCCGTGAGTCGCCGGCGACGGCATGGGCTGCAGTCCCTGTGGCAGTGGATTGCCATGGGCTACCGTGTGTGGCCAGCAGCCAGCGTGAGCGGCCAGCAGCCAGCGTGAGCGGCCAGCAGCCGCAGTGAGCGGCCGTCCAGAAGCCGGCGACTGATCTGCCTCGCCAGAGAAGAGCGCAATGATGGTGCCAACTTGGGCCAGTGAAGCAACATCCTCCATAGGTAGATTGAAGAACAAAATGACAGCAACTTGTCTGTTCCCCTTTCCCCAATTCCCCAGCACTGTTCCCATCCCCCCAATTCCCCAATAAAAAAATCTTAAAAAAAAAAAATAGAAATCATAAAAGGAAAAAATTAATAAATTGAACTTTATTTAACTTAAACATCTCTACTCATCAAAAGACACCATTCAGAAAATGAATAGATAAATCATAGATTGTATTTAAAGTACTCCTACAAATCAACAAAAAAAGATCAGCAACTTAATTAGACAGTGAGCAAAAGACATGAACAGATACTTCACAAAAGAAAATATATAAATGACCAATAAACTCATGAAGGGTGCCTAACACCTTTAAACACTAGGGAAAGGTAAATTAAAACCACCCACTTTGGAAAACAGCCTGGCAATTCCTTAAAAGTTTAAATTTAGAATTACCATGTGACCCAGCAATTCCACTCCTAGGCATGTATCTAAAAGAGATGAAATTTTTGTCCACACAGAACTTGTAAGTGGATATTCATAGCAGTATTAGTCACAGTAGTCAAAATGTGGAAACAATCCAAAGGTCTATCAACTAATGAATGGATAAACAAAATGTAGTATGTCCGTAAAATGGAATACAGATTCTTCTCGACTTACGATGAGGTTACCTTCCAATAACACCTTAACCTAGCCTACCTTAAATATGCTCAGAACACTTACATTAGCCTATAGTTGGGCAAAATCATCTAACACTCAGCCTGCTTTATAATAAAGTGCTGAATATATCTCTTTTAATTTATTATGTGTATTGCTTTCACACCATCATAAAGTAAAAAAAATTAAGTCAAATCATCATAACTGAGTGACTGTATTATTCAGCCAAGAAAGGAATAAAATATTGATACATGCTATGAAATGGATGAACCTCCAAAACATTATGCTAAGTGAAAGAAGTGAGTCTTATACAGAGGACCACTTCTTATGATTCCTTTGGTTTTATGACTGCCCCTAATCTGCAAGGATCCAAGGATCCTGGGCTACAATGTATTGGTGCCCTAGAGAGTTTTATTTTATTAAATTTTACCTTGGTGTGATGCTATTGATCCATGTTGGCACTTACAGTAAGAAATATTGCCCTATGAAATGTGCCCTATGAATTTGTGGTGTGTGCTATAAGTGTTTTATGTAAGGAACTGTCCCGCATATTACTTAATGTTCTCTTTATGGGTTCTCTTGGAAAAAAACTCCTGTCTGGTCTTAGTTCCAAGAATAGTTGTTTTTCCTCAAAGACTGTTAATCTCTTTTTATCTTAAGAACCCTGTATAACTGACCTAATGTTTGTCTTTATAGTGTATATTTTTTAAGCTACGATTCATTCTATATCCCTACCATTGTTTTTCTGTCTCTTTTCACATCTTTTACATTTTCTTATTGTATTTCTTATATCTTTACATGCTGCCTCAAACCCATTTTGAGATAAGGCAAGAGTTAAGTATATACTGGCAGTTTGGCCTTAGCAGAATAGACTGTGTGTGGGAGAATCTCTTTGATCTCTGAACCATTTTTAGCTCTTGATTCATATTGGGCTTTTACTCAGCTAAATCAAAGTCCTTTTGTACAAATTGATACGGATCCCAGTCTCTTCCTTTCTGTTCTTGTGTAGTTGATTTTTCAAACTTAGTTGAAGACTATTCGTTTGTCCACATTAAATATCTAGCAAAGTATTTTGGCCATGAATATAGTTTGTCTTCTCAAATTATAATTCTCTTATGATCCCTTTTAGCCCTATCCAGAGTTTTAATAAACATTCCTTCTGGATCTTCATTCCTGGGTTGATAAAAATGCTGAACAGGTGAAGGCTGTCTGTAGAGACCTCCCTCCAGACTGTTGGGTTCCTTAATACTCTTCATCCAGCTGTGACTATACCCAGCTTTTCTGTCACTAGCTCATATTTCTGTCTCTTGTGCCTAACGAAGCATAGCAAGCTTTTTAGTATTGTACTAAGATTATTTCCTGACCGATGAGGCTCACCATTTTGCTTCTATTGTCACAATTTTCTGACCCTTGATTCTTTAGTTCACAGCTGTTTACTTATACCTCTGGAAAAAAGCCTCTGTTCCATTTGAGCAGAAAAGTAGCAAAGAAAGCCTGCTTGCAGAAGCTCCCAGTTGCTAGGATTTGTTTACCAGTTCCTTGATTCCAAAAATATTGATTTAGTTTCTTTTCATCATCTGTATTAATTCATCCAATAAGAATTGGATGTGTGGGTGGGTGGGTGGATGGATGGATGGATGGATGGATGGATGATTTTTAGAGCAGGGGATGAAACTGCACGTGTCCTTATTGGAAGATAGAATGAAAAAATATATATATATAAAATAAATTCAATTATATATATATATATATTTAATTGAGGTAACATTGGTTAACAACATTATATATAAAGTTTCAGGTTACAATATTATAATTTGATATCTATGAACACTATAGTTTGCTCACCACCAGTAGTCTAGTTTCCATTCATTACCATACATTTAACCCCCTTTACTCATTTTGCCATCTCCCCACCACCTTTCCCCTCTGGTAACCACCAATCTGTTGTCTGTATCTATGAGTCTGTATTTGTTTTGTTTGTTTTTTATTCCACCTTTGAGTGAAATCATACAGTTTTTGTCCTTTTCTGTCTGACTTATTTCATTATTTCACTTAGCATAATACCCTCAAGTTCCATCCATGTTGTCACAAATGGCAAAATTTCATCTTTTTATGGCTAATATTCCTCTGTGTGTGTGTGTGTGTGTGTGTGTGTGTGTGTGTGTGTGTGTGTGTGTGTGTACATCTTCTTTATACATTTATCTGCTGACGGACACTTAGATTATTTCCATATCTTGGCTATTGTAAACAATGCTGTAAGGAACGTAGGGGGTGCATATATTTTTTTGAATTAGTGTTTTCATATTCTTCAGATAAATACCCAGAAGTGGAATAGCTGGATCATATGACAGTTCTATTCTTAACTTTTTGAGGAACTTCCATACTGTTTTCCATAGTAGCTGCAGCTGCACCGATTTACAATACCATCACCAGTGTTATAAGGGTTTGCTTTTCTCCACATCGTCTTCAACACTTGTTTCTTATCTTTTTTGATAATAACTGTGGGATGTATATTTTAAAAATCAAGAGTCTTGGTTATGTCTTCATTGAGTTGAGGCTTTTCGGATTTCCATCTCTAAGTGAAAGTTTTTGGTCTATTCAATACAATATTTTATGAGCATTATTTCTGATGTTTTTGTTAGACACATTCTATTTTATTACCTACTAAGTATGTGATTTTAAGATTTGATTTTGATTTTATAAGATTATGTTTATTCTTCTGTTTGCTTTCTGTGCAAGTAGACATCTAAATTATACTGAGAAAGAAGGAAAGAAAGCATCATTAGATTTACAGAATTTCAATTTAGTTTCTTCTCTTCTGGTTTACATTTATTATGTAAGGCTAGGTATATTTGCATAGATTGATTTTAATGAGAAAATTTCATTATAAACTGAAAATGTAAAGTGACACTTAGAAAAATTATTTAAATTGATGAAAATTAATCCTTATCAGACTTTGTTATGTATTAATACATCAGAAACATAAATCCTTAAACATAACACATTTATTGTTGATCTTAAGAAATAAAGAAATCATGCTCGCTTTGGCAGCACATATACTCAAATTGGAATGATACAGAGAAGATTAGCATGGCCCCCTGCACAAGGATAACACGCAAATTCATGAAGCGTTCCATATTTAAGAAAAGAAAGAAAGAAAGAAAATCCATTGTTTATTGAGCCCACAGGAAAATCTACAGATGCTAGACTGGGTTATCTATCTAGCAAATAAGTCTCAAGTTATTTGAAACTTTTTACTCAGCATGAATACTCAAACATGATTACTTCAAATTCAACAGTGATAGATTACAAATTATTAAGGATTTTATATTATGATTTTTGGCTTTCTTTTTTAGCAGCAGATACTTTTTCCAATCATTTTATGTGAGCCCATATATATAAAGTATTAACTTTATGCTGCTTAGGTTGAAGTGAGGACGGGGGATCCAGTGTCAATGCTTCTACCACAGCCACCAGCTTAGCGTCCATCCTCTGTAACATTTCTTGAGGACCCCAGGAAGCCTCACAATCCTTGATTTTCAACCACAGCCTTCTGGACCAGATAGTAGTCTCTTAATTTAGAATGTTGCTTCATTTTAATGCTGTTTGGGGGATGCGCTACAGAGACACCATGAAATACTGACAGAGTCTAACAAGGCCTTTTTTATTACTTCCTATGATAAAGCTCTTAGGTCTAAGACTTAGAGTTGTTGTATAAACCACATTCATCTCTGCATCAGGTCTGATCAATACTAATAAATAGCATTTTGTGTTTTCTTAAAGATTGTTTAGAATATTTTAAGAACCCATACAGGTTACTAATCTTTTGTTTTTGAAATTGTGTCCTCAAGTATGCTACTGTGGCAGCACCTCCCGAGATGTGTTATGTGGAACAGATATAGGAAAGTCTGATGGATTTGGGGACTTTGGCTGTTTAAAGATATGTGGCAAGTAAGGTTTTATGTTTTTATCCGTTATAATAAAGCTGTATTTTATGCAACAATTATGTAATAGTCTGTTATTTTTCCTAACAGGGACTTGAAATGTGGGAACCATACATGTTCTCAAGTGTGCCACCCTCAGCCCTGCCAACCATGCCCACGGCTCCCTCAGCTGGTACGCTGTTGCCCTTGTGGGCAGACTCCTCTCAGCCAATTGCTAGAACTTGGAAGTAGTGGCCGGAAAACGTGCATGGACCCTGTCCCTTCGTGTGGAAAAGTGTGTGGCAAGCCTCTGCCTTGTGGTTCCTTAGGTAACTAATAGGCATATGAATGTAAAAATATGAATGTAAATGTTTGCCAGCAATGACTACTTAAGCAGAATATTTTAAAATCCCAGTTACAATATCAGAGGTTTTTCTAAATATTATGATCAAGTTTGGGCACTTTTCCTTTCGTCCTCACAGTATACTTAATGAAAACTCACATTTGCCCGAGTGATCTCTCTTTCTGATTTGGGTCAGTGGTGGTGAGGTACTATTCCATGGGGGTTATCATTTCTCTTAGCCTACACTAGTATGAATGCCAGATATCCTTTTATTAATCTAGGGCTCAATAAATGCTTAAAGCCATTTTGTTATAATAGGAACGTCTTAGCTAAAATTCTAAGTACAATAAAACTTCAGCCATTTGGATCGCACAAGAAATGTCTTTTTTTTTTTTAATTTCTTTATTTTTTTAAATTTTTAAAAATTATTACTAGTTTCAGATGTACAAAACAATGCAATAGTTATCCTTTTCATCCCTCACAAAGTGACAATCCCCCTCCCCCATCCTTTGCCCCCCTACCCCCGATATCATACATATCTATTACAATTCCATTGACTCCATTCCCACACTATACTCCATATCCCATGACTATATATGTATTAAATTATAGTTGACATATAATATTATTCAATAGCCACTTCAGATGTACAGTGCAGTGGTCAGGCCTCTACACCGTCCATGAAGTGGTGTCCCTGACAAGACATGAAACCATCTGGACCCCTAAAAAATATTTACAACATTATTGATTATGTTCCCCAAACTGTCTTTTCTATTTCTGAGGCAATATTATAGATACCAATTTATGTTGTCTCGTCCCTTCCCCTTCCCCCTCAGCCCCACCCCCATCCATCTAGCAATCATCAGTTAGAAATGTCATTCTTTATAGCTGTTTCCTATCTAACTGAGGATAATTCCTCCTGAGCATCATTTTTGATAGACATTTTTCTAAAATTCTTTCTTTAAACAGAGGTAACTGAAACTAATTTTTTCCCTTTATTGACCCAGAGTCATCATTTTCTTGAACCTCAGTTATTGTATTATACTGAGGACTGTGGTGCCCTAAGGATTTCTCAGGTGATTTCCTCATATCGATGTGCAGTTTGAATTGTTTTATCTGCTTGTTAAAGCTTTTTATTTTCTTGTCAATGCTTTTAGTATGCCTACCATCCTACCTTTAGTTACTCTCTCTTTCTTCTCTGACTTGTGGCTTCTGATTACTTGGATATAGAAATCAGAAAAAGCTTGTTGGAATTAGCTATAAAGTAATAGTCTGAGTTTCTAACTGAGACTTTCTGAGGCAGTTTTTGGGAAATATGTGTTTACAATTTTGCAATGACCTCGCACTTTCTCTCCTAAGTGAGTGTTCAAAGGCTGTGTGTTTAGAAAAATAGAAGTGGGCAACTAAGTCTGAATAAGAGAGATGTTCCTGTAACTAAAAGTGGGAAAGCTAGAATCTTTAGGTTTGGTTTCCATTTTATCGAAAAGAGAGATTTCACATTTCTTCTAAGTACCAGCAGGAAACAGTAGAAGCACTAGAGGGAGCACCCTACCTAATTCTTTTGTTCAATCTGACTTTAAAATTATGTATAGAGGAGAAATGCTCTCTTTTCATATTTAATACATGTTCCAGCTACATTAGGAAAGTCAATCATCTATTGCTTCTCCGTGTCTACTGTGAAAATATATCTTTAGATAAGCTCTGTGAAATGGAGATCCACCGATTTCTAAATTAAGAAGGATCGTAAAGGTCATCCCTGTTCAGAAAGCATGTGAGTCAGTTTTGTAAGAATTTCATATATAATGACCAGAAATCCTACCCTGAGGCTAAGATATCTTGTTGGCAACAAGAGAAGGAGGAAATGTGAAATAGGTAATGCAAAGGGACTTGAGCAAGAGAAGGACAGTAACTATCAGAATGAACTGACGTGGGGGTAGGAGAAGACCAGGTCAAGAGATTCATGAGTAACCGATCTACCTCAGAATTTTAATCATGACAAACTTGTAATGAACATGTCTGAGTTGGATTGAGACACTCAAAGGCAAGCCCATGGCTAGTGGTAACAATGGCTCTCAAGTTTATTCAGATCTGGCTTATTGGTAGAAAGCTTGTTTTAGGTCTTTTAGTATCTGATCCAGTAGGAAATGTCTATTCTAGACATATTGCTTTAGTACAAGAGACTAGGTAGAGCTCTGCTTTCATGATGGTAGCATGAGCAACTACTTGGACCCACTCCCCCTCAAAACAAGCAAAGCTGGGGAAAACTATAAAAAAACAACCATTTAGAGTTTCCAGAAATTGTCCTATAGACATGTATCAATTAAGAAATATTTATTGAAGAAAATATGAAACTCAGAATAGCAAGAATCTGTGTCATTTGAGTCATGACCCACTTCTTCCTCCTCCCCCGTCCTACCACCAGCTCTGCTTAACAAAAGCTCCACTCAGGATGGGTATGCCCAAGAAGACTGGGCTTTCTCTGCCCTCAGCTCCAAGTCAAGGGTAGAGCCGACTACCAGCATTTCTCACCCCCTTTAATTCCAGGTCAAAGAGGCTAAATTTCTGATAAGTGCAGCTGAGAGATAGGGGGGGCTACCTTCCGCCACACAGCCCCACCCATGAGTTGGAGGCTCTACCCCAATCACAATAGGCTAAAATACTGGGGCACCAATCACCCTTGCCCCAGCTCACTTGTAGGGCAGAAGTTTTATGCCAGGAGAAGTAAGCCAAGAAAACCAGAGACTGCTATCCCATCCAGCACCCAGAGTGTAGTGGCTGAGACTTCCCCAGGGGAGAGGCAGTCCATAAGAAAGAGAGCTCCAAAGTACTTCCCAAAGGAACTGACTTTAATCGGAAACAGAGTTTGGCTGGAAGTTCAGGCCTAAGGCCCTTTAGAAAACATTAACTCCTCTTAAGAGCAGCAAGCTAAACTATAGACCAGTTAGTTCACCAGAAAGAACCAGGAAAAGAGATGACTAAGAGGAGCCCTCCTTTCCTCAAAGACGACTCCTGCCCAGATTTCCTTGGTTCAGACTGCTAAGCAATTTATGCCCTATGGCATTATTGAAAACAATAGCACAACCAGTCAGCAGTTAGTGGAGCCCCAGGAGTGAGTGTAATGCCAAATGAGGCAGATAGCTTAACAGAGAGATCAGAGAAAAAGATAGTCAAAGAGACCTCTCTAAAACCACTGTCATCCCAGGGTGACTGCACACCCCCAAGGCTGTGCCATGCCATCCAAAGAGTGACACCAAAGTCTTCATACCAGAGGGGAAATAGACTTCGCTAAAATAGCCTAGAGAAGTCACAAAACAAATAAATAAGCAAACAACAACAAAAAAAGCTGTGGAGAAAGAGGAAGCAGTATCCAGAGTTGCTACAAATAATATATTACCAAAAACATGTGGTTTCCAACAAAAAATTATGAAGTATGCAAAGAAATAGGGAAAATACACAGGCAGCAGAAGTTTGTTTTCTGTGAGAGTGACTGACATTAGATTTAATAAAAACTTCAAGGTAGCCATTTTCAATGTTTAAAAAAACTAAAGAAAACCATGCTTAAAGATGCAAAGGAAGGTATAATGACAGTGTCTCATCAAATAGAGAATATCAATAAAGAGATAGAAATTATTTTAAAAAAAAGAAAAGGAAAGTCTGGAGTTGAAAAGTCCAATAATTAAAATGAAAAATTCATTAAAGGGGCTCAACAGTAGATTTGAGCTGGCAGAAGAAAGGGCCAATGAATGTGAAGATAGATCAATAGAAATTATATAATCCAAAGAACAGAGAGAAAATAGAATGAAGAAAGATGAACACCTCAGAGAAATATGGGACACCTTTACGACACAAACATATATAATGAGAATACCAGGAGAGGAGAAAGCAGAAAAATATTCAAAGAAATAATGGTTGAAAACATTCCAAATTAATTGAAAGACATAAATCTATACACCCAAGAAGCCAAACAAACTCAAATAGGGTAAATTCAAAGAGATCCACAGCTAGACACATAATAAAAATGCTGAAAGCCAAAGACAAGGAGAAAGTCTTGGAAGTTGCGAGGGAAAAATGACTCAAGGGAATCAGCAGACTTCTCATCAAACATGATAGGGAACACTACATTGCAATCAGAAGGCAACGGGATAACCTATTCAAGTGCTGAAAGAAAGACTTGCCAACCAAGAATCTTACATCCAACAAAACTTTCTTGCCAAAAATTAAGATAAAAATGGAGAATTTGTTGCTAGCAGATCTTTACAATAAATAATACTAAAGGAAGTTCTTCAGGCTGAAAGCAGGTAAACCCAGATGTAAATTCAAATCCACATGAAAAAAAGAGTAAAGGTAATTACATAATTATAAAAGACAATATAAGTATATACTTTTCTCAGCTGATTTAAAAAGCAGTTGTATAAAATAATATGTATATAACTGGAATGTTAGGCCTATAATATATAGACATATATCTGATAATAACAGCACAAAAGAGATGGGTCAGATCAAAATTGTATTTGAGTAAGGAAATGATACCAGATGGTAACTCAGATCCACAGGAACAAATGAAGGAAACCAGAAATGATAAATAACAAAAGTATAACAAACTGTAAATATATACTTGTTCTGTTTTCTCAGCTTTTTTGATAGACATAACATTGTATAAAGTAATAATTATAACAATATATTGTTGAATTTGTGTCATAAATGTAATATGTGTAACAATAATAGCACAAAAGAGAAGAGACTAGAGCTATATGAGTAAGGCTTCTATATTTCATTGGAATTAAGTTAGTTAATTAAATCTGAAGAAGATTCTAATAAAGTGCATATAGTAAGCCCTAGAGTAACCATTTTTTAAAAACTCAAAAAATACAGTGAAAAATACCATTAAAGGAAAAAAATGTTACACAAGAAAATATTCGATTGGCAAAAGAAATAGTACAGGAAGATTAGATTAACAATAAGACACGAGACATAGAAAACTATAAGTAAAATAGCAGACGTAAATCCAACTACATCGGTAACATTAATGTGAATGGATTAAACAATTAAACAAAAAGCGGAGATTGCCAAATTGAATTTAGAAGCAAAAAGCAAGATCCAACTATATGCTACCTTCAGGAAGCCGACTTTAGAGTCAATTACAAGCTGAAAAAAATACATTGTGTAAACAGCAGCCATAGAAAGAGACTGTGGGTGATCTCTGAGGGGTTCTTGAAACAGTACTTGTCCTAAACCTAGTAGAATGAATGGCAGGCCACCTATCACTAGACAGTCACAGAGTTTGAGTCAGTGAGGTTATGGATCATAGCGTCTGATTATTTATGATCCCCAGATGATTTTTAATCAAGAGCACTTCAGTAAAGTCATCCGTGGCTACAATTTTAAGGAGATCCAAGTCTAACCTAGAGACTTGGGGTCTAAATAAGGAAAGAGACAGATCTGTTCTTTGACTTAGGCAAAGCATCATGTAGTCCAAAGCATATTCCGGTAACTAATGCTGGGCCCTCTCGTTGCTGGAAAAGGCCCAGCCTGCTGGATGAAGGCAAGATAGGTGAAGACGTTGTGGAGTTGCAGGGAACAGAGGTAGAAGACTGATGTGGCTGTTGAATTTGGGAGTCTGAAATGAGTAGTTGCAATTTTCATTCCCAGCTCTTTTCATTTTTATTAAAGATTTTATTCATACCTGTGAAAAGCTCTGCCATGAAGGAGACTGTGGACCATGCTCTCGCACATCAGTTATTTCCTGCAGATGCTCTTTCAGAACAAAGGTAAATCCTAAACATTGCTACAGTTGTTGCCACCAGTGCCTTTTAATTTGGTGATTATGGGAGGGGAGGAATCAAAATAACCTTACTTTTATTTCTGTCATACTATGTATGATTTATTCAATCCAGCCAGTGTATACTAACACCTGCTATGGACCAGTTGTAGGATAGGTGTGGTGGGGGGATGTCCAGCACTCCCAGCTCAGAGGCCAGTAATGAGGATAAGGCAAGTATACAGATAGCTCAACCCAATACAAGTGTGATAATGCTAGTTGCTGGAAGAGAAGGACCGTAGCACTCATTGATGCAAGGAGTTAGCAAAATAAGAAGTTAGAGGGAACACAGTCTGCAAGATTGCCCTCACCCTGACACCCACTGCAAGAGTTTAGACAACTGCTGAATTAGAACAGTGCACATGGCCACCCTCACTTCTGATACCAACTGGAAGCAAGCCCATTGGTCCCCAAGACCACCCTCAAAGTTTGATGACTCACTGGAAGGATTCACAGAACTCAGCGAAAGCTGTTATACTCATGGTTATAGTATATTCCAGGGTAAGGATACAGATTAAAATCAGCCAAAGGAAGAAGCACATAGGGCAGAGTCCAAATGCGAAGCTTTCAGTTGCCCTCTCCCTGTGGAGTCGGAACAGTGTTACTTTTTCAGCATCAGGATGTGACAGTATGATGGAGTATTGCCAACCAGGGAAGCTCACCCAAGCCTAAGTGTTCAGTTTTTATTGGGGCTTCATCTTGTAGGTATGGTTGACTGCCCATGTAGCTGATCTCAGTCTCAGTCCCTCCAGAGGTCTACGGATACTGTGCAACTCAAAGCCCCACTCTAAATTACATCACTGGCCTTGCTGGTGTGGCCAGCCCCCACCCTAAGACTGTCCAGTGTGGCCAGCCTGTACCCTAACTCATACTATTAGACTGCGTGGCCCAAGTCACTTGTGACCCAAGGCCCCAGGCATACAAGGACACTCCTATCAGGCATGATATTCCAAGGGCTTAGATGTTACCTCCCAGCAGCCAATGGCAAAAGCCAGACCTCTCTTTGGGTAAGGTTGATTATTCACGATACAACTGTTTTATAAGTTAATAAGTATAGTTAGTTTGTTTGCTTTCTGCCTTGGGCAGTTTTGATTGGACTTTGTGTTATAAAAGGGGCATCTTACCATTTTGGAATTAGGCCATAGTGCCCCTTCCTGTGTCTGTAACCAGAAGAGGTAGGAAGCATTTCTGTGGAAGTCTTTGAGTAATCACTTGAGGAACATACTGAACACTGATCTATCCTGCTGTCTGACCTACTGCTAATCATTTCAGTGCATTTTGGCACCTTTCCTAGCGGAGCACAGGCCAGAGTAGAGACCGAGTTCTAAGCAGTTGGTTTATTTCTTAAATACGGCCCAAGATCTGGGTAACAGCTGACTTGCAAATGATTCTGAGGATATAGTCTATAAATTGAGAGCTATATTCATAGCTAACTTTCAGAATAAAAGAAAAAAAATGTAAAAGAGCAATTTACATGCAAAAGTTGTATGAGCATTATGGGGTTTTTTTTTCCTGGAAAAAAACACACACAAAAAACAAAAAAAAACCCAGAATACATGGGGCCGTATTTGTATTTTGAATGTCAGGAACAGGCAGGACCACCTTATACTTTTTAAATATGTACGAGCTCAAAGAGTGTGAGATGCTGTAATTTAGTAATCACAAATTTAGTAATGCCCTGGGGGGCCCTTTGTGACCAAGAATCACAAGCAAGGTTGGGACCTGGAGTGCGAAATGGCTATTGTCAGTTTGCTTCTTTCTCCCCAGCAATCCCTTTGTCTCTCTCTGTTTTTGTTTTGTTTTTGGTTTTTTTTTGCTTCTCATTCAGTCTGTCCTCACTCCCTTTAATAGTGGATCCTATGCCAGTGAGTGTATTCTTGAAAAGCTATGTATAAATTGAGTTTTTGCAAATAAAAATCTTATTGTAAAATTGCTGTAGGCTTTCACTATCAATATGAATTCTGTTAAACCCTTTGACAAAGTTAAAAATCTCTTCAAACCACTAATGATCATCACCTCATTGTTTAGCCAGGTTTTTCATGACATGTCTTTTGTAATGGAATGGGATTTTCCATGGAAATAAGTTTTCTGGATAAATAAGACTTATTTCTTAAAGCTTCAAAGTTTGTTTTCTTTTAATCACTTTGATGGGAGTTTTTGAGAAACGTATGCTATATCTTACTGCCTCTTTACAAAGAATACTGTGGTTAAGTTTTTATCGGTAATTCATATTTATTATAGGGATTTATGGGAGCCCTGCCTCTCCCTACAGTGTAGACAGCACTCCAGCATGTCATTTCTTCTGTATGATCCAATGTTTGCATTAACTGGAAAACTCACTCAGGCAATTTCATGAGTCATTTTTGCTTTATATCTCTAGAGACCATATGGGGAACTTTTTCATATTGAACCCAGCCAACTCATTAATTTATCTAAAATGTCTTCTAGCCAAAGCTTCAGTCTCTTAGACCTCTTTACTTCTGTTATCAGCTCTAGTAGCTGCCTATTTTTTTCAGTCATTTCACTAAGAAGGAATGTTTTTGTCATTTTTTTTTGTTTCTAAGTACATGGCAACCTGTAAATGGCATCAAAGCCAAATTCAGATGTAGATGCTGGGCAGCCAGCCAAGCTTACTCTACCCACAAGTGAGTGACTCGCTCCCCACACACCATCACACATGTTTAGGATCATGCCACAGCAAAACTACATGTGATAGACCTTTGGGGCTATTCACACATAATGGAAACCACAGTAATAAAACTTCAAATGCCAAAGGACTACTGTATTCTACTTTGCTGCAGTCCAGCTGTGTTGTCAGGGGTGCTGCTGAGTATATTGAGCTGTTTGCCCCTATGCCAGATGGCACCAGATTGTTACATGTTTTCAATTCTTACATCTGCTCTTTTTTGCTTTCTGTCTGTATGTACCCTTGTCAAGCAGTTATTTCTCTTTACTTTGCCTGCCTTTTTAAAGCAGCCCTTCTTTTTATTCAGATTTGATAATACCTAATCTGCTGTGCATGGGAGGCCACAACATAAAGATTGTTACTATTTTATTTGCATGAAAAGTCAGTAAACCTGGGGCCCTGTTGTGAATAAATTATATTAATAGAGGGAATGGGCTAACCCTGATCCAGACAGGTGAAGTTGGTGAATAAATTGCCAGAGAAGTACAGGATACTTGTGATATACATGTTACATTTAGCATTATATTATAGCTGTGTTGTTTCATTTATTCCTAAAATAGTTACTGTTTCTTTTTCTTTTTCCATAGGAACTTCCATGTACCAGTCTCAAAAGTGAAGGTATGACTGGAAAGGGGCATGAGAGAACTTTCTGGGGTGAAAGTAGTTATGTATTTGTCAAAATTTAGCGAAGGTACACTTAACATTTGTGCGTTTCATTGTATGTAACTTTTACCTCATAAGAAAAGAAAGAACTATAAATTGAATTCTAGTTAAGGAAGTGCTGAAAATTTTAGGAGAAGCATACTCATGTCTGCTGCTTACTTTGAAATTCATCAAAAAATAAGATAATTTGATGGGTGGACAGAATAGATATGTGAAAAAGTAACTAATGGTAGAATCTCAGTAATGGGCATATGAGTGTTCACTGCAAAATTGTTTCAACTTTTTTATATGTTTGAAAAATTTCATAATAAACTATTGGTGGGAGAAGTGATGGTAAGTGATATCTAATGAAGCACACTTTTTACACGCAGACTCTCATGCTTATCCCCTTAAGTCTTGATAAGACTATTGGGTACCTGGAACAGGGACTCAGCCAGCAGCCTTCTTACCCCTGAGGCCTAGAATAGAGTTTCTTCCTATGTCCTTGATCCTCCTGGCCCACTCTATTATGGTTCTATCCCTGTTTTGCTAACCATCACATAGCCTTTGGTTTGAGCCACCTTAAAAACCTTTTTGGAAAAGTGACAGAAGATAGATGTATATAAAATAAAAGCTCTTATTCTGGTCAGGAAGAATGCTAAATTGTTTTTGGCTGCAGGTATCAGAAAACCCAAGGAAAAGTGACTTTAGCAATAAGGGGGTTTACTGCCTCACATAATAGGAAGTCTAGAGGCAGAATAAGTACGAGGTTGGTTAATTCCAAGCTCAGTGATTCCAGGATCCAATTCAACTTTGTGATTTTCTTGGTTTTTCCCCTTATGGGTATAAGTTAGCTATAGCAATTCCACAACTCGAGTCCTCACCAAACAGCATATAGAGGAAAGAAAGGGAGATTCTTAAGCTTCTCTTCCTTCTTAAGAGCAAAAAGAGTCCTGAAAGGCTGTCAGTATACTTTGTATCACATGCTTCTGCCTAAAGGCTTCACTGACAAGGGGAATGGGCTTACCATGACAGGCTAGACTACACCTCTGGAATTGAGGAGCACATGGGTGTCCAGTTTCTGAACAAAATTAAGGATCTGTTAGCCTGAAGAAAGTAGGGAGTGGCTATTTGGGAGCTAAAAAAAAAAATCTGCCTAAAAACTTCAGTCAAAATTTTGGTTATTAAAAACATAATTTGAGAAAAATTACATTAATACAAAGTAAAAAATGAAAATACACCTTTATCCCATTTTCCCCTCCTTAGTTCCACTTCCCTAATGAAACCACTGTCACTAGTTTGTTGAGTGCGGGTCCAGATCTTTTTCTGTATTCACACAGACATGTACACATGCTAGTATAGTTTTGATTTTCCCCTTAAACTTAAGTTCATGCTAAAAATACTGTTTGTAACTTGGAGCTTTTTTCCCCCCTCAATAATATATCAAAGACATTTTTCCATATCAGTGTGTATATCTCTCCCTCTTGCAATATGTGGATGTACTGTAGTATATATAGTTCACTATTGCCCTTTTGGGTCATTTAGATTGTCTGCAGTTTTTCCCATTACAAATAATGCAGTAATCATCTTGTCCCACTTTTTAAAATTTTATGATGAAAAATTTCAATCGTATCTAAAAGTAGAGATCCCTGTGTGCCTATCACCCATCATCAACAATTATCAACATTTTGCCTGTCTTGTTTCATCCGTCCCTCCCTTATCTATACTTTTTATTTCCACTGAAGTACTTTGAAAACAAATCTCAAACATCATTTCATCCATAAACAGTTCAGCACCTAGCCTACAATTTTTATTGAAATAAAATTCACATAACATAGTAGAACAAACCATTTTAAAGTGTACAATTCACTGGCATTTAGTGCATTCACAGTGTTGTGCAATCACCTCTCTCTAGTTCTAAACCATTTTCATCACCCCAAAAGAAAAACCTGTATTCATTAAGTTTTCGCTTCCCACTCACTTTGTTCCCCAACCCCTGCTTTCTGTATCTATGGATTTACTTATCCTAAGTATTTCATATAAATGGAATCATATAATATGTAGCCTTTCGTGCCTGGCTTCTTTCATTTAGCATATTTTCGAGGTTCATTGATGTTGTAGCACCTATCAGTACTTCATTTCTCTTTATCACTAAATAATTCCATTGTATGTATATGCCACAATTTGTTTATCCATTCATCTGCTGGTGGATGTTTGGATTGTTTCCATCTTTTGGCAATAATGCTGCTGTGAACTTCTGTACCAAGTTTTGTTTGAATACCTGTTTTAAATTCTTTTGAGTATATATGTAGGGGTAGAATTGCTGGATCATATGCTAATTCTGTGTGTACTTTTTGGAGAACTGCAATACTGTTTTCCACAGCAGCTACACCATTTTATATATTCCTACCAATAGTGTGTGAGGGTTCCAGTTTCTCTACATCCTCTCCAACACTTGTTATTTTTTATTTATTTATTATTATTATTATTATTATTATTATTATTATTATTGCCATCCTAAGTGGGTGTGAAATGATATGTCTTGGTTTTTATTTTCATTTCCCTAATTACTAATGATGTTGAACTTCTTTCATGAACTTGGCCATTTGTATATCTTGGGAAAAGAGTCTGTTTAGGTCCGTGGCCTATTTTTAAATTTGGGTTGTTTGTCTTTTTGTTGTTGAGTTGTAAGAGTTCTTTATGTATTTTGGATCCTAGACCCTTATGAGATATCTGATTTGCAAATATTTTTTCCCATTGTGTGGGTTGTCTTTTCATTTTCTTAATGGTGTCCTTTGATGCACAAAAGTTTTTCATTTTGATTAAGTGCAATTTATGTTATTCCTTTTGTTGCTGTGCTCTTAGTGTCCTAGCTACTTTTGAAAGTATATCTGTAGAAAGGATTCCTTAAAATGGAATTGCCACTTAAATTTTTGATAAATACATATGTACTCTAAAAGTTTATACTGTCATCCACTAAGCATATGTGACTTTTTCTGCACAGCTTCACCCATACCATATATTAATCAATCTTCCTCTTTTCTGTTTTTTAATAATTTGACAGTGAAAAGTGATATTTTGATATGTATTTTTACCATTTTATTTACATTATACGTTGTATTACTTTATCGTATAGTCTCTCAAATATTTGTTGGATGAATGTTTATATCCTTTGCCTTTTTTTCCTTTTTAATTGCCCACAGCAGATGCTACATTTATGTGTGACAAGCGGTGTAACAAGAAACGGTTATGTGGACGGCATAAATGTAATGAGATATGCTGTGTGGTAAGTAGACCTAACATTGTGCACAGTCAGATTGCATTCATGGAGAGGCTGAGCTTCTGGAAGCCTTAGCCATCCGGAATGCAGCCCGGATTTAGAAATCACTGGAAATCACTGGAAGGAGCCTCTGAGCAGAAGTCAGATTGCTGCCCAGGTCAAGCTAACCTCAGCTAGGTCAAGAAGTCAGCTTGTGGCAATGGCAACATGGAGGAAGAGAAAGGAGAAAGACAGAAGACCTCAGGCCCCAGAGCCCAAGACCACTAGATGAGCACACAGTTCACTACAGGAGATTGTGTGCTATCTCTACACACAGGCTGGCCTGGCCTTAGCAACCTGGGCTTCAGGTTTCATGTACTCCTTGGGTAAGGTTGGTGGGCAAAATGAGTGGCATTTTTTTTTTTAAGCTGAGCCATCCTGCCACCTGTTGGCAGCTCAGCGGCAGCTCAACTGGGGCCAGGAATTGAACCGGCGACCCTGTTGCTCAGAGCTCACACTCTTCAGCAAGCTCAACTAACTGAGCCACTTGGCCGGCCCTGAGTGTGACATTTTTTTTAAGATTTTTTAATGGAGAATTGGGGGAATGGGAACAGCGCTGGGGAATTAGGGGAAGGGGAACAGACAAGTTGCTGTTTTGTTTTTCAGTCTAGTTGTGGAGGACGTCGCTTCACTGGCCCAAGTTGGCACCATCATTGCGCTCTTCCCGGGTGAGGCAGATCAGTCGCTGGCCTCTGGATGGCCGCTCAC